GGCGGAGGTGACTGGGAAAATAAAGCTGATGGGATAAAGACCTGACCTCTGTGAGTAACCAGGTTTCATTTCAGTGTTCATGTAATAATTTCTTTTTCATATGGAAAACAGAAGCAAAAGAAAAGGGGATGACGCTGTGTGGTAAAGTGATACATGTGAGCTTCAAAGCACAGGGCAGCCTTTTGGTGTTTCTGAGGTTTATTCCACTAAGTAAACATTATTCTGCTTTCAAAGAGAAGAAACTGAGACACTTTGTTCATGCACATCGGACTTGTTCAAAGGTACCAAATGACTCAGCAGCAATGAAGTACAATATACAGACAGGTTTAGGTAGTTTAGAATCATAGAATTGTTTAAGTTGGAAGAGACCCTTAAGATCATCAAGCCTGACACTGCCAAGTCCACCACTAAAATATCTCTAATTGGCATATCCACAGCTCTTTTAAACACCTCCAGGTCTGGGACTCAGCCACTTCCCTGGGCTGGCTGTTCCAGCGCTTCACATTTGACGTGAAGACATTTTTCCCTAATATTTAATCTAATCCTCCCCTGGCACAACTTGGGGCTGTCTCCTCTTGTCCTATGACTTGGTACTTGGGAAGAGAGACCAACACCCACCTTGCTACAACCTCCTTTTCTGCAGGCTAAGCAATGCCAGTTCCCTCAGCTGCTCCTCACAGGACTTGTTCTCCAGACCCTTCACTGCCTTCATTGTCCTTTTATGGACCTGCTCCAACTCCTCAATGTCTCTTGTAGTGAGGGGCCCAGAACTGAACACAGGATTCGAGGTGTGTTCTCTCCAGTGCCAAGTACAGGGGGACAATCACTGCCCTAGTCCTGCTGGTCATGTGTGGCCAGCAGCTTACACAGCTTCTTCCTGTGTAAATCTTTACCTATCACATGTCCAAGCCATCCCTGAATCTTCTTCCTCAAGGCCCTTGAGCTCAGTAGTACTCACCACTGCTGCATTTTGGGCTGCTCTTTTGGTCCTTTATGTCTGCATCTGCTAGCACTGCAAAAGGAGAACATCGCCTGATGAAGCCTAGCAAATTCTTGATGTCTACATAGGTTGTTGTATGTGTTGGCATGACAGGGAAAAAAACTTACAAATGCCACTGGATGTTTTGTTTTCTCTGCCAGAAATGAGGGGATGTTTCTTTAGGAGGATTGTGAAGCAGCAGAGTAACCTGCAGAGAGTTCCGGTCAGCGTGGACAAAAGTGTTCCTGGTACCTGAGTTAGCTTGCTTGAAGTTAACTTGGGTTTATCCATAGTATCCTGCCACACTCACCTTCCTTAGATTTGGCACCTGATAGCCATTGCTGTTTCATAGTGCTCTTCTTTCCTGACCTGTCCATCACAGGAAGGACACTCAGAGACGATTGGGAAGAGTAATCCTGGGAGCCACTCCATGTTTTCAGATGCTACACTACCTGGGATGAAGGTTATCAGTGGTTAGGCTTCTCAGCATTGGTGTGGGTGGGTTTACAAACACCTTGTTTTTCTATTAGGAACGACAACCCTTATTCTACAGAGCAGTGCTTCAGTACCGCTGCACCACTGAAGCACTGTTTTGAGGTTAAAGCTAGGTTCTTTGGGGGAAGAGGGGAGAGGCAGGGAGTAAGAATGTCTGAGAGGACCATAGTTAGTTTCTTCAGTTTCCAGCAGCACTGGGAAAGTGTTAAAAAGTTGTGGGGGAGAGCAGGGGCAGGTGTACTACTGGAAATTGCTGCTGCATCCTTCCAGTAAGACAAGCTGATTTTCTGTTTGCCCAAATGAGCATCAGATGGGAAAAAAACACTTTTAGAAAACTTCAGCCTTGATAGTACATTTATTTTGGGGACAGAATTATGCCACCTGCTCATGTGACTTGAATGTAATGTGCTTGCGCACACACACACATAGAGTTTTTTATTTTTATCACATGGCTGCCAAAAATAACATTGAAACGTGTAAGTTAAGCATGCCATTATGACACAAAAGCACTTCATTACAATTCAGGGCAGGTCAGGTTTCCTTCTGAGCATATCACCAGCAGGCAGTAATGGAGGAGTACAGAGGGCAAGTAAAAGGAACAGTGCAACCTCATGGCATTTTTTTCCTAAATGTCAGGCATGGTCAGCATCCGCTGGTGGGTTCCGCAGTGTATGGATTTAGCATCTTCAGTAATTGTCTCTCACAGTGTTGAATTTAACATATATATGGTAATACAGAATTGGCTGCTTTTGGAGGTTTTTTTCCAAATTACAGCAGTTGGTCTTATGAATAATTTCCCTCTAATCAGCTGAGTCTCTCTTTCCTCTGTAACTCTTCTAATCTTATTTTCATAACTTGATACTTCTCTGACTTTCAATTAACACTTCATTTACGTTCTTTACTTAGATGCAGTAGGTGTAGCCTTTTGAAATTCTTCCCTAATGTGATTTTAGTGCTGTCACTTCAGTTAGGGGCATGGTAATGACTAACCTCTGCTGCTGTAGCTCTGTTGCTGTATTGCATAATGACGTTTCAGAAGCTCTGGAGCAATGCAGGTCAGTTGACAATTTGGGGCCATATGGCAATATGGTGCTTGGAAGAATCATAGAATGGTTAGGGTTGGAAAGGTCCTTAAGATCATCAAGTTCCAACACCCCTGCCATGGGCGGGGATACCTCGCTCTAAACCATATTACCCAAGGCTTCGTACAACCTGGCCTTGAACACTGCCAGGGATGGAGCATTCACAACCTCCCTGGGCAACCTATTCCAGTGCCTCACCACCCTCACAGGAAAGAATTTCCTCCTTATATCCAATCTAAACTTCCCCTGTTTAAGTTTGAACCCATTACCCCTTGTCCTACCACTACAGTCCCTAATGAAGAGTCCCTCCCCATCATCCCTATAGGCCCCCTTCAGATACTGGAAGGCTGCTATGAGGTCTCCACGCAGCCTTCTCTTCTCCAGGCTGAACAGTCCCAACTTTCTCAGCCGATCTTCATATGGGAGGTGCTCCAGTCCCCTGATCATCCTCGTGGCCCTCCTCTGGACTTGTTCCAACAGATCCATGTCCTTTTTATGTTGAGGACACCAGAACTGCACACAATACTCTAAGTGAGGTCTCACAAGAGCAGAATAAAGGGGCAGGATCACCTCCTTCGACCTGCTGGTCACACTCCTTTTGATGCAGCCCAGGATACAGTTGGCTTTCTGGGCTGCAAGCGCACACTGAAGCCGGATCATGTTCATTTTCTCATCGACCCGCACCCCCAAGTCCTTCTTCGCAGGGCTGCTCTGAATGTCTTCTCTGCCCAGCCTGTGGCTCTGCCTGGGATTGCTCTGACCCAGCTGTAGGACCTTGCACTTGGCATGGTTAAACTTCATAAGGTTGGCATCAGCCCACCTCACAAGCGTGTCAAGGTCCCTCTGGATGGCATTCCTTCCCTCCAGCGTATCAACGGAACCACACAGCTTGGTGTCATTGGCAAACTTGCTGAGGGCGCACTCAACCCCACCGTCCACGTCAGCGACGAAGATGTTAAACAAGACCGGTCCCAACACCGATCCCTGAGGGACACCACTCATTACTGGTCTCCAGCCAGACACTGAGCCATTGACCACAACTGTTTGTGTGCAGCCATCCAGCCAGTTCTTTATCCACTGAGTGGTCCATCAATCAAATTGATGTCTCTCCAATTTAGAGACAAGAATGTTGTGTGGGACAGTGTTGAATGCTTTACACAAATCCAGGTAGATGACATCAACTGCTCTACCCTTGTCCGTCAGTTCTGTAGCCCCATCATAGAAGGCCACCAAATTGGTGAGGCAGGATTTCCCCTTAGTGAAGCTATGCTGGCTGTCACCAAGCACCTTGTTGTTTTTCATGTGCCTTAGCATGCCTTCCAGGAGAATCTGCTGCAAGATTTTGCCAGGCACAGAGGTGAGACTGACTGGTCTGTAATTCCCCGGGTCATCCATTTATCGCTTCTTGAAAATGGGGGTTATATTTCCCTTTTTCCAATCATCAGGATCTTCACCTGACGGCCATGATTTTTCAAAAATGATGGCCAGCGGCTTAGCAACTTCATTCGCCAGCTGAAATCCATTTGTAGTCTGAAAGATTTTATGGGAATGTTACAGAAGTAGAGGAACATAATAGCTTGTTAGCAAGAAGTCTGTACAGTGAGTAAGGATGGGTAAACAAAACCTGATTAGTATCACTTATGTAAAAAAAAAGCTTAATTTCTTAAGTACTCTTCTCACAATACAACATTGCAGTATCTCCAGGTAAGGGTAGATGGTGCAAGCAAACATGTCCTTTTTCTGGAGTGCTCTCACTTACCAACACTCATCCTACCTGTTGTCACAGCACACACCCTCTGCTCCAAGTTCCCTTGCTAAATGTGCCAGGTGTGGTGTTGCTGAAGAAAATCTTGCTGTGCCATTTGCTCCATTCCATAGCCTGTATGCCATCTGACAGCTGTCAACAGGCAAACAAAATAAGCAGAATGAGTAAATCCCATGGTTTCCTTAGCAAGTAGGATTTTTGGAAGTTGATGGAGCAGAACACAGCAGCTAATATTTATAAAGTGTGACTTCTCTTTCTGGATAGAATGTAAGCTCTTTTACACCTTGATAGGATTTTTTCTTTAGCTCATTATATAATGAGAACTCAAGATGAGATCACCACAGCAGTTATCAGGGAGTGTCCTGGAACACTGCGTAGCTGGCATGGTAGAGAGGGTTGTTATGAAATTGTTTTTAAAAATAATTCTGGAATCCTGCCCCTCTTTCTGCTTATTTTAAGGTTCATATGCAATGTGTTGAATGTCTGTGTCTTGAATTATGCTGCTGGTGGATCCTCCCAGCTGGTCTGTCCAGTAACTGCTGACTGGTACGATCATGTTTCCATGTTAAAACTTTAAAAATAATTTAATGATAGCTATGTTTAGTGACATCATTTTAGCACCCATATGACTTAGCTCTCCCTCGCACTTTTCCTGAGACCATACAGCAGCTGTGTTTTACCCATATATGTCCCATCACTTCAGGCGCAGTCAAATTTTTAGAAAGAGGGAATTATACTGTCACAGATCACTGTATCTTCCTCAGCTGTGTAGGCTCTCATTTCATTGAAGAGATGCTTGAGCTTTCTTTAGTCTTCATAAATCTTTCAGGAAGAAAAGTTCGAAGTTTCCTAAAGGAAAGGCTGTAGTGATTCTTTTTAATAACATTATTCCTTTCAGGGTGCAAAACATACATTTGGAGACAGACGATTTCTTCTTAAAATGGTGTATTGTCTTTGGTGTCACTGAAGTGATGCAGGGCAATATTAATAGGTTTTTTCTATTAATGAAGAATAGTGTTACTGAAATAATAAATGAAATGTACTGAAAGATATTTCTTCCTATTAGAAAGCTTTTGCACAGAGAATCTCTATTGTCCAGTGGCAATTATTTCTGGAAAACCTATCACTCTCTTCCCTACCTAGCTGCTCTGCTATTTTCATGCATCTGTGATTGGTTATCAGTTTGCATGTTAAGAATTCTGTTTATAGTAAGATAAAATGCATCATAGTTACTGGCCAAAGTTTACTCTCAGCTACATTGATGATAATTCAAGGTGTGTTGGTTAGTAACACTGACAGACGCAGAGGTGTGAACAGAATTTGTTTGCCTGTTTCTATTGATTAGGGATTTATTTTTCTTGATTTGAGAATACGTTCTTTTCATTTCTGTATGTAGTGAAACAGTGTTTCTCATGATCAACATCAGAATATGTTTTCATTCAGTGAGAAAAGCTCTTGCTGCAGATAATGGTGCAATCTCCTGGTGTGGTGAAAGGTCAATCTGTAAAAAATTAATATTGAGTGTAATGTATCATATGTTTCTAACTGGCATGTAATAAAGAGTCCCCCTGCTATGCCGTATGTTTGCATTTCACAGGACAGCTAGTTTAGAGGATTCTGTCAGAAGTTTCACACTGTCTTTACCATGGGAGAGACGTGAGATCTACTCCACTCTAGTTCCAGTTCAGATATAAAGCTGTCATATTTTGTGTGGCAAAGATGTCTGAGCAAAGTCCACTCAGGGACATGCATGAACTTAGCCATTGCTGATGTCTCTCCTTTTGAAGTGCAGGTTGCAGAGTGATCTTGTAGGTAAACCTGGCTGTGCTGTCAGTTTCACCCTGGAGAGGGTGATTTTTTAAATCTAATTTGTATGACAAGCATACTTCAAAACCAGGCCTGAGGTTTCATCCTGAGGTCCCCGACGGCAGGTGAAAAGCTGAGGTATTAACAAAGAGAAGAGGTGATAACACAACCTGTGTAATCGATCATCTGATCCTCACATCTGTGGTCTGGGTCCTCAGAGGGAGGAGCAGCAGCCATGCTGCCTGGAAGGGTGTGTGGTCTGCCACAGCTGGCTCCTGGCTACTGTTCCCATCTGGTTATAAAATTCATTCTGGTTAATAATAAATTCAGTTAAAACCCAGCTAAATAAAAAGTCTGACATGGCTGACAGTGTTGTGTCAGGAAGCCAAAAGATGCTTTTGCTCACAGTTTTCTCAGTCTTGTTTTGTAACAGCAGGCAAATTGCCCCTGCTCCAAATCAAAACAAATCCATTGTCAGTCTGGCTTTTGAGACAGACAGATTGTTTGGGGAAGAGGCTATATTTCAGGATGTGAAATACCCGAATTTTATGGTGTCCAGACAGGCCTCAGCCAAGATAGGAACCTCTAATACTGTATGAGCATCTGTGCTAGATGTCACCATTGCAGCACAAACTGAACCAATGTGTCCTTGGATGACAAGCCTCTGCTCCCTGTTTAACCTTCAGGAGGTTTGGGAGGTTCTCAATAAAAGCAGTTTTCAGAGAACAATTAGGGTCTCCAGGGAAAAGGGTGAAATGAGAGGGACAAGAAGACTAATGCTGTTGCTTGAGTTAAGAGGATAAAACACAGGAAGAGATTTGGGGTGTAGAGTAGAGCCTGATTTGAGGGCAAATGCAGACTGTTGCAGCTCACATAACAGGGGATAGCAAATCACTGAAGTGGCTCCAGATCTTTTGCCTGTCCTCTAGGGCCATAGCATGTCAAAGCACAATTATCCAGACTGAGCTTGTGGGGATGAGGGGTCATTGTGCACAGGGCTTTTTGCACTCTCCCCAGGTTGTGATCAACCATGACCAGAAAAGGGATTTCCCTTCCTGCTGGAATTGAAGACTCCCTACCTTCATTCCAAGCCCCACAGGAGAAAATTGAAAAGCAGATAATGAAGCAATTTCTCCTCTTCCTTACTCAGTTGTAACTGTGAAGTAATTCAGCTGAAACTTGAGTTGAAAGATTGCAAAACTGGTGTTAGTGAGAAGAAAATGAGGCTGTTATGTTTTTCAGTCTAAGCAAGAAGAAAAGCTGGGCAACTTCATGAGGGCATTTACTCAATCTCTTGTAAAAATTTAAAGAGTCAAGAGAAGAGTACCAAAAATGTTCTAATAGTATTAACACTTTATTTTGTCTCCTTGTTCTGTTTTTGGACCTCCATAGAAAGTAAGACATTGGGAACTGATGGAGTCCAGAAAGCAGCAATGAAAATAATTAACGGCATTCTGTCATTTGCTTTACTGGGAAAGTGCTCATGGCTGACTGAAACTGCTGTGAAAAAAACAGTTAACATTATAGATGGAAGTGACATAGAGATCAACAAGATTAAAATTATTTAATTGCCAGACCATACAAAAACAAAGATACATCATATAACAGAGGGTACAGTACAGAGTTGAAGATTTAGTTGCATTTATTAATCTGTTCTCTAATGCAATCACTTATGTACATACTGTGAAATTTGAAGACAGTATTTCCAAAAGGGAGGGTAAAAAGTATTTCTAATGCACTGAATAATTATGATACAGGGCATCACAGAAACAAGCATGTAAGAAAAAAGTATATATTAGACGTATATCCAAACAAACTGTTGTAGGCATTGATGTTCCATAAAGCAAATGGGCACTGCAAAGCATTTACCTGCTTTTGTGAATTCTGGCCCCATAAGGGCTGATGCCAACTGGGTGATTTCATACAGTAAGAAAAATCAGGTGCGTAAGTTATTCCACTTACTCACCTGATTTGCCTGTGCGACTGTAGCTACCTTGCCATCTGGCTGAGCTGCAGTTCTAGGTAGGGAACGCTCAGAATAGTAACTTTAAAAAATGTGGTAGCATGCATAGAAATAAGTAAATGAAGGGACAGAGCTGCCGTAGCTGCACAAACCAAGCAGGCATTGTTTCATAGTTTTAACTGATCACCTAATGACTTCCTCCGTCGTATTTCAAGACCAGTCACTTCATGAAATATGATACTAGGAATTGCGTATGTATCCAAAAGCAGCATGAATCTACTGCAGATTGGTTTTGCTGTTTCACAAAGCATGGTCACATACGCAGTCTTGAAAGAAGGTGGGAGTGAAGCCAACGTAGAATTAACCACACTGAATAACTTGCACATTTTCAATGAAGTCTTTCATGTATTCTCTCCTTTTCAAAAGTGAACAAGGGCCAAAACCAGCCACATCACTTGGACTTGGCTATAATGAACTCCTGCTTCTCTGCAGTCTGAATCTAAGCCACTATCCTACACATACCACATCATAAGAAACCACTAACCCTAACCATGAGGCCAGCACATTCATGTCTCTACAATATGTTCGTTACACTCACATTAATAAATGAATATAATGTTACAATGCCTGTGCCATTAAACAGCACCTGTTCAATACAATGGAAACAAGGCACTCCATGATTAAATATATTATCTTCTTGACAAAGAACTGCACAACTGTTTGGCTAGAGCTGTGAAGCAAATGGTGTATTTGCATATGAAAAGGAATTTGTGTACATTTGATGAATGACAGAATAATTGCTATATATGGCAAGGAAAAGGGATGTAAAATACTTCATATACTCATTACTGCTGTTGCAAGTAAGAGGGAAAGGCCTGCATATAGCTGTGACTGTACCTTTCTTGACCACTTCAGCTAGGCAAAGCTTAGACAGGCTGCTGGCATTATAAAAGTAAGCTTTAATCCTGGAAATCATAGCTGGAAAAGGTCTGATGGACTCTGATAGAGTGTACTCACATCATCCCCTCGGAGTACACGCAAAGTGGATGTTTTGTCCACTTGAGTTTCAAGGGTGTCAAATGTGGGTCTTCCACCATTGTACTTGGATGACTGGTTCAGATTTTAATAAACTCCTGTCAGTGGTAATTTTTTCTTTTTTATTCAGTGAATGTTGTGGGTTTTTCCTTTATTTCATTCAGAAGTCTCCCTATACCTTTATAAACCACTCACAGTTATGGGTCTTGGCCATAGCTGGGCAACTCCAACCCAAACCTCTGAAGGAGCTGTGTTGGAAAAGTTAAAAGGAGTGGAGGACACCAAGATGGGCTCAGTATCTTCAGCAACAAGTTGCAGGATAGAAAAGAAGAAGGGATCAGAGGGTTATAGAAAAGATGCTAGGTAAAGGGAAGGGAAAATTATAGTTTTCAGTCTTCAATCATCTGTTCTACATATACACAAATCACAAAAGGGGGACTTTTCATTGCAAATTTCCCCTGAAATTGCTGCCCTTAGGAGTTACCTGGGGCTGAAAACTAGACCCGAAAGTAGAGATGCTGTCCTTCCCACGATCCAGATCTTACTGCCCTGGTAGGAGGAGGAATATGGCAGCTTTGGTGCAATACAGTAACTGAAAGGGTGAGAAATAGCAGGTGAAGAGAAGGATTGTGGATGGGTAGGGAAACACAGTAGGTTCTTGATTTAGGAATATCCATGTTTAGAGGTGTTGATCTGATTTACAGAAATGCTAAATGCTCACAGCAGAAACTGATGGCAGTGAGAATCATATTCAGCAAATACAGAATGCGATAAAGTACTGAGAATTGTAGTTAGCATCTCAAACTGCCCCCCCAAATTTGCTTAAAGTGTGGACAAATTTGACATTATTCTCACTGAAACAGCTTCTTGTACATCTAAAAATGGTAATAACAACTCAGGAAACATACTCAGGTTTATTAAAAAAAACCCAAGTAAACAAAACCAAACAAACATAAAACCATGCGAAGAACATATGATTTAAAAGCCAGGTGAAAGCGTGAGAAAAAGAAAATTATCTTTTGCTTGTAGGGTTTAAAAGGCATTAGGCAAATGACACCTGGAATCCCATGCTGAATAAGTAGGATAAACTTAAGTATCAAGTAACTGCCCATTCAATGGAATAAGACAAGGTTACAGTAGAAGAATGTCAGACCACATTTTAAACTATGTACCTGCCTGTCGTGTGAAATGGGTAGGTGAGCACAGCCAATGAAACTGTGCTTGGGTAGCATGGGGGTTGCTGAATTAAGAGGCAGTGGAAAACCTTAATACTGCTGCTCAATTTGCTCATATTTAAGGGTTTGATTTTGTGAGTCTTATTATTCTTTTCACAGTTTTCTCTCCAGTGCAGTTCCTGGGAATGGAAAACAACGACAGTGTTTTCTGAAAGACAGCTGGCACGGCCGATTCCTCAGAGCACATGACCACAAACCAAACCTAGTACTGTCAAACTACATTAATCTTCACTATGGCTTGCTTAGATTAGTAACCCATCAAAATGTAGTGGTGTATAATGACCCTCTCTTTATAAACACTTCCCCTCTTATAACTGATTTTTATATTACAGTTCATAAGAATACCCAAGAAACAGTGATTGCCTGAAGATTTTTAGGCTAGCAAGCCTCTGTATTGAGATCTTGCACAACATCTGTTCTCTCTTAGAAGATCAGAACATTCGTTGCCAAACCCTCACTCAACCTTTAAGTGGAAATAGGACACATTGCCCTTCCAAGAAGACATGGCTAGGATGGTACAACTCTTCTGACATAGACAAGGAGGCCTAAAAGAAGCAAGTCCTCCTATCTAAGAGGACGAGTAACTACAATTTTCTGCTTCTTAAAAACTCTTGTCAGTAGGTTTGTGCATTTGTGTTTTTGAACATTATGTATAGCAACCATGTGTGGGCAAGCAAGATGCTTTCATACCTGGTGAATAGGACTAGAGCACATAAACATGTTGTTTTATCTGTTTTCAATTATTCCTCAATTTAATAACAAAATACAATATTTATCAAAATAATAATGATAACTATCATATTCACAAACAGGGTTTTATTCAAACTGTAAACTGTAGATATGCTAAAAAATGTCCTAAATGTGGGGAAGGAAGAGGAAAGGTTATTTCTCTTCCCCCTTTTAAATCTCTTAATTGGAATAAAAGGAGAATTGATTGCACTTAGTTATTTACTTTCTGTGTTTGAGGGCTTTTTTAGGTGTTTCATTTCTCTCCCCAGTTAAATCTTCAAGGATACTGACATGTAATAAGGCTGGTAGCAGCACAAAAGAGAAGGGCAAATATTCTTCCTTCTTTAGATTATTGCCAAGTGCTGATCATCACACAATTTGTTGCATCAAATGACCGTAAGAAAAAAGCAGTGAAAAGAAAGAAATTCCAGAAACTTAAAATTTTGCAAGGGAAAAGCAGGGAAAAAAAAAAAAAAGTATCTTCCAATTGTCAAACAATAAATTGGACAAATGGATTTTTTAAAAGTGCCTCAGATCAGCTCTTGAACAATAAAGGTTTAGTTTATGGTCATGAATTAAGGAATGGCATTGTGTTGAGATTTGTATCAGAGTCCGTATTTGTACACTAAACTCCCACTCTCATTTGTGAGTGCTTGTCACTGTCAAAAGTAAACATAGCTGTAAAGACGGAAACACTCAGTAATAGGTTTACCTCAGAGCCACTGCCAGGAAAACTGAACAAGATAATACAGTTTCTCCTACAATGCTATTCTTATTTTTCTGTTCTGAGTTAGATGAACTTTGTGGACCTACTCAAAATATGTAGCCTTTCTCCATTGAAATGGGTTTGGATATTTTGTTTAACAATAGAGGGCGTTGTGTTTATTTCCTTAGATCATTGTAGATATGTAGTGTCACAAAGTAAGCAAACTCCTTTTATGTTCTTGAGTCTTTGGCCAATTTTGCCTTGAGCACACAGTTATTACTAGATGATGATGTAATTTTGTTACTCAACAAATGAACAGAAAGGATGTTAATGCTAAGATGAGCCAGAGAGGGCAGCTGAAGGGCGGAAAAGGCACTTTTCTTCCACTTCTTTTTAGGCCAGTCAAAACTGAATTCCCAGGATTTACATGGTGTAATATCAGATATGCTCAGTGCATAAGAAAAAAAAATGTGGTCATAGCTCAGTAAGACAGCAGATGTTATGACAGACAGCCTTCAGCTGAGGTTGTCAGAAATTTATGTGGCATCAAAGCATCCCCATCTCACCAGATGTCCTATTCCATGAGCCAGATAGACACCTACAAGCTGGCTCCCTGGCTGGCTTTTTCTTTGAGGCCCTGAGCAAAAGAGAAAGCTGATTAGCTTGAGATCCAAGCAGACTGCAGTACTAAGCACTACTGGTAAATTAAACTCATTTACATTCTGCCCATAAAGATTCTTCCCTGAAAAGAAAAAGTTTCGAAAGTGTTGTCTACTCCAGACATATTACATACTCTCCCCACTGCCCCAGTTTGGGGGTTTGATTGAAGAAGAGGTACATAGCTGGAAAAAGCTAGATCTAGACTTAGAACTACAGGGCATAATGCTGCTTTCTCAAATAATAAAGACTGGGCACACCAAATTTGGAATGGAAACACAGGAAGCTTCCACCACTTGCAAAACTTACCCAGCAACAGCCCACTTAGTTTGCTGGTACAAGAGAGCGCAGAGTATGACTATTACAGAGTGGCACACACGTGTCCATCGTTTCTAGAAAGTTATGTGTCTTATGTGATGTTGACATGTGTTATATTTTTCAGTCTTTCTCCCCCATCGTTTTTTTTTACTTCAAAAGTCAAAAACCTGTTGACTTCATATTTTCCATTGGGCAGATGTTCTTTCTTTTCCCCTCTGGTGCTTCTCAAGATTAAATTAGATTTTAAAAGACATGAGAGATGTCATATTGAGAACCCTGAAAACAAAGAACTGTGTTAGTTTCATTTACGCAGATGGTGACACAATGGTGTTATGCACAGGCTGCAGACAGCAGAACTTGGTCATAATCTGAACAGGTCAAGAAAAGGTTGTATGTATATGAAAATAATTTGGGGATTTTTGTGTATTTCCTTTTGAGCTCTCTTCTAAACCTGCTAATGATGGAACCATTTTACCCTGATACCACAAGCTTGTTTTGGTAGCACGTATGTTGTACTCTGTCTAGAGATCATAATGCCAGTTGCTAGTGACCTGAGATATAGCCTAGTGCACTAGCAAGTACCTTTAAAAGTGCATGTTAATTAGATTAATAAGATAATTTCCCAAAAAGTAGCCACAAATCAAACCATAAATACATAAATATTTCTACAGCCCTAGATGTACTTATGCACAGATACGTACTTTTGGATTCACACACTTCCTAGTGATGCAGTGATTCTTCCAGTGGACACAGTAGTGGGATAATTCCATAGAGATTAATTTTCAGTTCCATTAAGTGATAGTCTATCTCTCAAAGTATGGTAAGTAAACAGAATTTCAAGTTTTTTATCCATGTTTTTTAAAATTATCTTTTAGGTTTTACAACTTAGGAGTTAAAAATCTCTACTATTTTGATACCAGTTTAAAAAGCTAGGAAAGCTGAAATAGTGTGTGCAGTAAATCTGTGCCATGGCAGAAACAGTCAGAAGTGTAAAGAGTAATGATTAAACATTTAATCAGAAGCATTATACTTTGTTGTGTTCTCATTGTAGCTGCAGGAAAAGATGCTGTAACAGATCTTTAAATAGAAAACCAGAGGCTAAATTCTACTTCATCCATCAAAAGCAGCTGCTAGGAGATGACCTAATTTTAGTGGCTTATCAATTCCTTAGTGCTTGTTGGTTGATGTAACTTTGATCCTCCGATGCTAGATGACTTTTGTGCTGAATATAGCTGGAATTTAATGTGAATCTTTTGGATGGCTGCCCAGCCAAGCTGCATAATCCAAACAAAAAGAGCAAGAAGTACATGATTCAAGCTACTCACGTGTACAATAATACAAATATATGTATCCTGATTCCTTTGGGCAATCAGCTGCATGTCACCAAGCACATATTTCAGATACAATGCCCTTGTGGGGTTTTTGCCTGTTGGTTTAGTTTTTGTTTGGGATTTATTTTTTTTTTTTTAAACAATGCTTTGCTTTTCATTAGAAAAACAACACAAGATGCAGTGAGAGTCAGCTGCTGCCAAGAAATAATGATAGAGTCAATAATTGCAGGACGTTTTTAATGAATGTTTTCCAAGCAAATCATTGCCATTTCAAAGGGCTGTTATTTCTATTTATGTAGAGATTAGCCTACATGTTATCAGGGAGAGTGAATGGTTCTATGTTTTTTTATCATTAGTTTTGTAGCATTTTTAAGGGTTTTTTTCTTTTTTTAATACTGAAAATGTTTTTGTCTTTGTCTCTTACTCTTTATCTGGACCATAACTTGTTTTCCTTTCTGTCTTTCTTTTTTTGGCTCTTCACTAAAACCATCTGTGACACGCATGCGAGTTGTTGGGTGTGTGAGCAATGCTTCACACATATTTACTTGCCCTACTTGGCATTATTTGCTAGTCATTAAAGATTATGCAGGAGTTTTTAATGTCCCATTTTTTTCTATCCTTTAGCAATCTAAGGTAGGAATAAGAGAGTGGCCAGGCTGTTTGTTGTAGAGTGCTTTTTTATTATTATTATTATCATTATATTATATTATATTATTTTCCCTTACAGAGCCCGTGTCTAGAATTTAGACTGGGGAGGATTTAGATTGGGAGGATTAGACTGGAAGGATTTCTGGGTTTTCTTC